CTGGGATTATAGGCGTGAACCACCACAGCTAGCCTTAATCTTCAATCTATTTTGAATGTAACATTTTTCATTAATTAAGGAAGATTCCCAATTCAATTTATCTTTCCTTTAGAACTCATGCCATACTAATTGGAGGCACCAGCTCCTTTAACACTTACTATTTATTGTCTGGATGGGCCTGGATGGGCCTGGATGGGCCTGCAGGGTATGCGGTAGAAAGAGCCTTGCTTAGGACACAGGAGAGCTGGTTCTTAGGCTGTGTTTTGCCAATCAGGTATGTAAACTCGGCCACATGATATGAGCTCTGAAGGACTTGTTTTCCCCATTTCGTTAACATAAAAAAGGAAAAGAAAAGCAGGGGCAGAGAGGTTGGATTGGATGATTTCTATGGTCTGTTCCTGTTCAAAACTTCTCTGTTTTTTATAACTACTTTCCATATAAACGAGATTGGGAAATATTATTCAGCCATAAAAAGAAAGGAAATTCTGATACATGCTACAACATGGATGAACCTTGAAGACATTATGGTACGTGAATAAGCGACTGAAAAGGACAAATACTCTATGATTCCACTTATATGAAGTACTCAGAATGTCAAATTCGTAGACCCGGAAAGTAGGATGGTGGTTACCAGGGCTGGGAAGAGAAGGTAGAGTCATTGTTTAATGGGTATAGAGTTTTTGTTTGGGATGATGAAAAAGTTCTGGATGTGAACAGTGCTGATAGCCGCATAACAATGTGAATGTACTTAATGCCACTGAGTTGTAATTTGAAAATGGTTAAAATGGTAAATTTGATATTAGATATCTTTTACCACAATTTTTTTAAAGAAAAATTATAGGTTCAAAGAAATGCACATTTCAAAAGCTTTTCATGTTTATCATCTATATAATAAGGGCATAATAAATATTCGTTGACTTTTATTTTTAAAAAACAAGTTGGGGTGGTGGTAGGAAAATTAGGTTTAAAGAAGGGCACTAGGCTATTTGTCTTTGATTTCATATAGCAACCACACGGGCATTTTGTTTTGTTTTGCTTTTGAGATGGAGTCTCACTCTGTTGCCCAGGCTGGAGTGCAGTGGCATGATCTTGACTCACTGCAACCTGCGCCTCCCAGGTTCAGCGATTCTCCTGCCTTAGCCCCCCTGCTAGCTGGGATTACAGGCATGCGCTACCATGCCTGGCTAATTTTTATATTTTTAGTAGAGACCAGGTGTCACCATATTGGCCAGGCTGGTCTCGAACTCCTGACCTCAGGTGATCCACCCGCCTTGGCCTCCCAAAGTGCTGGGATTACAGGTATGAGCCACTGCGCCCGGCCTCCATCCTCATTTTAAAAGTTGCTGATAATGAAAAATGATGCCATCAACTTACTATGCTTTCCTTAAGCAATATTAAAAGAACAATTTTCTTTGGTCACTTGAATTTAACCCCTTTGATATGAATTATCACTTTCATTTGCATTGAGCAAAGCCTACCATTGTCACTTTAGAGGAAAAGGGCAAGTTTAAACATCTATTGGTAAAGTTGGCAAATACTTAAATTAATTTAAACATGGATAATTAATTTAGTGTATTTTAAATATTTAGTTGGTTAAAAATAAAAACAAATGAGCAAATAACACACACTCTCTATCCCCCCCAAAAAGAGGAGAAAAAAAAAAGGAATGTAAAGAGGAAGAAAGAAAAGGAAAATAAATTCTGACATTTTTCCATTGTGGTAACTCATCTTGTCAAATTATTTTACAGGTATTTACTATTCCATTTTGTTAATTTTTTATATATAATTGACCAAGTTTTATGGCCAAGTAAATTTTTTTTTTCTTTTTTGAATGGGGTTGGGAGTCATTTTTTAAAAAGCTACAAATAAGGAGCCAGGTGTGGTGGCTCATGCCTGTAATCCCAGCACTTTGGGAGACCAAGGCGGGTGGACCAAGAGGTCAGGAGATCCAGACCATCCTGTCTAACACAGAGAAACCCCATCTCTACTAAAAATACAAAAAATTAGCCTGGCGTGGTAGCAGGCATCTGTTAGTCCCAGCTACTTGGGAGGCTGAGGCAGGAGAATCACTTGAACCCGGGAGGCAGAGGTTGCAGTGAGCCGAGATCGAACCACTGCACTCTAGCCTGGGCGACAGAGTGAGGCTCCATCTAAGAAAAAAAAAAAAAAAAGAAAGAAAGCTACAAATAAGGTATTCAAATTTGCATGCCTGCCTTACCTGTATTTAATCAGGTACATGGAAAAGGTAACAAATAAATCTGTAATATGAAAGAAATTAGGCTGGGTGCAGCAGCTCACACCTGTAATCCCAGCACTTTGGGAGGCTGAGGCAAAAGGATGTCATGAGCCCCCAGGAGTTTGAGACCAGCCTGGGCAACATAGTGGGACTCCATTTTTACAAAATCTTAAAAATTAGCTGGGATGGTGGCACGTGCCTGTAGTCCCAGATACTCGGGAGGCTGGAGTGGGAGGATTGCTTGAGCCTGAGAGGTAAAGGCTGCATAAGCCATGATCACATCACTGTACTCCAGCCTGGATGACAGAGTGTGACCTTTTCTCAAGAAAAAAAGAAAAAAAAGAAAGAGAAATTATTAGGTACAATATTTTTCTGTGGATACTAGTTACAGTAATCTGCATTAGTCATCCATTAATAAAATGCTCTTATCATATTCCAGAACTTGAATTAATATTACATACCACATAAAAAAGACAAAAATATGTTTGCTAAATTTGATCAGCAGAAAGTTGACCAGAAAAAAATATAAAAGTTTCAGATTTCCTAAATGAGTGGCATCATCATATTAATAAAATCATAGTTTCCATATTTGAACATTTTATGTACAGGAGTCCTAATAAGTTATATCAACTCTTCATTCCAACAATAGTCATTTCCCACCTGCATTTCCCAAACTCACCTTTTTTTGTTGTTGTTGACTACTTTAAAATTTTATCATTTTTGTCTATTTGAAATATCTCCTTTCTCTTAGAAATTCTAATCCAGGAAGTCTCAAGTTGCAATCTGGGAATCTTTTAAACCACTTTTATACTCTACCCACTCCCCTAGTTGCCTACTACCCTGAGGAATTTTACAATCAGACAAGTTTGAGAAACAGTACGCAACATCAATCACAGGAGATGGGAAACAGAACTTTTATTTTTTAAATTTTAACTTAATTTTTATTTTTTGAGATGAAGTCTCACTTTGTCGCCCAGGCTGGAGTGCAGTGGCACAATCTGGGCTCACCGCAACCTCTGATTCCTGGGTTCCAGGGATCCTCCTGCCTCAGCCTCCTGAGTAGCTGGGACTACAGGTGCTTGCTACCATGCCTGGCTAATTTTTGTATTTTTACTAGAGACGGGGCTTCACCATGTCAGCCTGGCTGGTCTCGAACTCCTAACCTCAAGTGATCCGCCCGCCTTGGCCTCCCAAAGTGCAGGGATAACAGGCGTGAGCCACCATGCCAGCCAGAGCCTTTATGTCTAAGCTCTCAGCCAAACAAACACATTAACATAGTTTTATTAACTTCATTACAAGATTCAAAGTATCTTAACAAGAACTTTCATAAGGACTCACATCTGGCAAAAGTGCTTATATATACCATCCTCACCTTTAAAAAATGAAGATGACATTTGTTTTCACTGATCACTTTATATAACATAATTATCTTTTAAGCAATTTCTGTATAACATGAAATAGAATGAGACATTTTCTATTGTTATTAGAGACAGAATTAAAAAGTAAAATCAATATATAATAATCTTTATAACTTTTGTCTCACAGGCCTTCTAAGTCAAACAAGAAATTATCTTTTCATTTTTTTCAGGACTATAACAAGTAAAGCTATAATTTAAATCTATAATAAAGTATATCATTTTAAAGGGCATTAGTGAAAGCTATAATTTCCAAACAAGTGGTGGCTTATTTCAAAAGCTTGAAAAGTGGTAGCTTATTCTACACAAAAAGTACAGTGTAACTCTATGTATTTGACATAATTCTCTTCATGATTAAGAGCTAACTTCAAAAGTAGTATAAAAATCCACAAAAACTTAAAAATAAAGTAGGCTCTACATAAGAATGGAAACAAATGTCTGTATTGAAAAAACGAATTCTTCCATTGCCTTTATTTTTTCCCTTATGTTCTCTATTTTAAAAGGTAAGAATGAGCCGGGCGCGGTGGTTCACGCCTGTAATCCCAGCACTTTGGAGGCGAAGGCGGGCGGATTACGAGATCAGGAGATAGAGACCATCCTGGCTAACACAGTGAAATCCCATCTTTAATAAAAATACAAAAAAAAAAAAAAAAAAAAAAAAGGTAAGAATGAGATCACTTAGCTAATACACCAGTCAAGAGTAGTTCAGTGTATTACTTTCATCCTTATACTATTATCAAGTTGAGCAGGGCTGATCCTTATCAACTTTTCTGGCTTCGAAGCTAGGAATCAGAGCAAAACGGCTAAAAAATCTTTTACTCAGCAGATGGGATCCACTTAAGTGGTCTGTCCATACTTTGAACCCACTGTTCTTTTGAAGTGAACACCATCATACAGTGGGCAAACTTCTGCTTATTCAACACTTTAAAAACAGCTTTAAAACGAGAAATCTCCAAAAAACACGCGTGGTTTCTTATAAGTGTTTTTCATAGATGCACTAAAGTAAGCGTTTCCTTTCACACTCTGCGCCTAACCGTCTACATGATAGGGCCAAACCCAGGTTAAATATTTTTTTCCAGCTACCACTCTGGTCACACCAACTAATTATGCACGCCTCACAAAACCACCTTTCAAAATGCAGAGAGAATTAACAGCAAGGAAGTAAAGATTTTTCTAAATATAGTCCTATCATGTTTATTTTACACTCATCAAGTAGGTCACTGGAGGTAGCCGGCAGCTAGGGACACTCAGAAGCATCTCTCAAAGCCAAGGGTGAGACCAAGAGGCCACTGACAGCTGCGCCATCTACCTGTTGCAGCTGGGCCACTGCTCTGGACAACTGTCAGATCAGCTTCTTCGTCCTACAAATGCTAATGATTAGATTTTTTTAAATCGTTGTTTGCCACCCTTTCTTCCCGCCCCCCATCCCCTTCGGGCCGCTCCGGCAGGGCCAAGGGCGCCGCGGGACTCGCGAGCTCCTCTCTGCGCTGGCTGCAGCGGCGATGCCGGGCATGCCTGGCCCGGCCGGGCCGGGTCCAGGGCGGCCTCGCTGCCGGGGCAGGGACCTCGCAGGCCGGCGCGCAGAGGCGAGGAGCCCTCCCGGCGCCATCGACTCACCTACCCGCGGAGAGGCGACGGCGCGCGCCGCTCACCAGCCCGGGGCCCAGATCCGAGAAGGAGGGGCAGCGGCGCGGGGACCCGGTGGCGGGTGGCGTAAGGAGGAAAACGTATTACCTAAGCAGGGGATGCGGACAGAGCAGGAGGCAGCAGCCTTTCCCTCGAGAAACGGAAGCGGCGGGGGAGGAGAGCAGGAGGAGTGGGAGGAGGAGGCGCGGCCCGGGCGCGAGGTTAGGCTAGGGGTGCTGGGCTTGCGGCCGCACGCGTGGCCAGAGGACGAGGGCTGGAGAGGACGGCGGAGGTCACGCGAGCGAAGCCGAAGCCCGGGCGACGCGCTGTCCCGCTCGGCTCGGCACCGGATCGGAGCTCTGCCTGAGCCAGGCCTCCGCCTCCGGCTTTCCCGCGGCACCGCAGCGTGGAAACGCCCGCTGCCGCCTCGGGGCTCCTGGGACGCGCGGGCCCCCCACGCCTGCCCGAGCCGGGCGTCCGCGACGTCACAAGTGGAGCGCGATGATTCAGAGGGAGGGCCAAGAAGGGAAGGGCTCTGGGGTCCGCTCGGCCACGGCTGCTGTTTCCTTGTCGCCGCCCACGAATTCACTTTTAAATCTTCCTCCTCCATTCGTCTGTACTCTCATAGGGGACTGCGGGTTTGACAGATGGGTTGGCAGCTGTGAAGATGGACTTCCTGCCAGTGGTATCCGGGTCCCACTGTTCTAATGGAAATGCCGGGTGTACTGGATGTTCCTCAAGCCACAGCAGTGTCTCTGGGCCTTACGGCTTAAGAAGTGGGCCTCGGGTCACCCGGACAGGAAGCGCATCAAAGGTGGGGAACTCATCTCTCTCCAGCCTTTGATGCTGTGATACTCAGTGTGCCTTAAGGATGGTTTGGGTTTTGAACCGTAGAGGGAGGTAGAAATGGGTGTTGGTGGGCGGGGTGGGGGTGGGGGAATAGAAACCTTAAAAAGGCAACACAAAGCTTTTAAGTAGAAGAGGCCAAGCAGTCTCGCCCAGAAGCTGATGTTTGTGAATGCACTGGGCCTTCTAAAGCGGCGCTTCGCACACCTTTTCACTTCTTGGCACAGGTAGGAAAGGATGATATTACAAGGCTCAAAATGGGGGTAAACAGAAGAGGCTGCTCCTGCAGAAGGCGAATGGGCCCTTGCACCTGGAGGACTGAGAAGACTCGTGCTGTGTCTGCATCCCTGTCATTCGTTTCATGGCATCCAGTTGGGAAGCTCTGCTTAAAGCTCTATCTGGCACCTTTTCTTAGCTACATTTTTCCACACTAGCTGAGACTGCCTCACTGAGTTGTCAACACTTGGTCCTCTTCAGCAGTCAGGAACCACCAAGACACGAGGCTGGGGCAGTACTCAACTTGGCAAACTCCAGGAAATGGTGCTTAAAACGTTTGGCTTCTTGAATGGAACTCATGGTACTGCTCCCAGCCTGCTCCTAGGGTCTCCAACTTGACACAGTTTCTCCCCGCATCCTCCCCAGCTTCTCGGGCTTTCACTCCCTAGCAAGTGGGCTGCTTCTACTTTCTTTCTCACATTCATTTCTTAGGTCCATTCTCAGAGCTGGTTAGGGTTACTGTTTAATTAGCCTCATAATCATATCTATGATGGCAAAATCAAGAAACAATTTAAACATGATTCTTAAAAGTAAGGAGATAAATACCAGAGACATAGACTGTGAAAGAATTTGCCTCTAGGAAGCAGGAATTTAAATTTGGGGAAGGCAGGGTGGAGCAAGGGATATGAATCTAGTACATTTTCTTTTCTTTTCTTTTTTTTTTTTTTTTTTTTTTTTTTTTTTTTGAGCAGAAGTGTCTGTTGCCCAGGCTGGAGTGCAGTGGCATGATCTTGGCTCACTGCAACCTCTGCCTCCATGGTTCAAGCGATTCTCCACCTCAGCCTCCTAGTAACTGGGATTACAATTTTTTTTTTTTTTTTTTTTTTTTGAGGTAGAGTGTCTGTTGCCCAGGCTGGAGTGCAGTGGCATGATCTTGGCTCACTGCAACCTCTGCCTCCTTGGTTCAAGCGATTCTCCCACCTCAGCCTCCCTAGTAACTGGGATTACAGGCGCCTGCCATGCCCAGCTAATTTTGTATTTTTAGTAGAGATGAAGTTTCACCATGTTGGCCAGGCTGGTCTCGAACTCCTGACCTTGGAGGATCCGCCCACCTCAGTCTTCCAAAGTGCTAGCATTACAGGTGTGAGCCACTGCACCTGGCGGAATCTAGTCCATTTTCCACTTTGCTACCACACATCTGGAGGGTTTCTTGCTTGCTTAAAAGCTTTCATTGGCTCCCAATCTCTGATAATATCAAGAGCAAGTTCCTAAGCAACTCATTCAAGACCAATCACTCCTCAATATTACACCTCATTTTACTACACCACATCTAGTTTCCTGAATATGCAAACAGATTTCATACATTTGCACCTTTATACATGTTATTGCTTTTGCCTCAGAGAGCATTCTCTTGCTGCTATAATAATAGCTAATGACACTGTGCTAAGTGCTTTCTGCGATTTATAACTGTTGATTCTTACATCAACCCTATGGTAAATGTTACTGTTATCTCCGTTTTATAAACAAGAAAACTAAGACTTAAAGAGTTTAAGAGATTTGCGCAAATATGTAGTATGTGGTGAGGCTAAATTTGAACCCAGCAATCTGACTCCAAGACTAATGTAATGTTACCTATTCATCCTTCTAAAACGTTTCCCAGACACTAAATTTGAACAGGATTAAAAGATTTAAATGTTTTTAAGTCTTAAAAGGGCAAGGAGAAAATACATGTGAATTGCTTTTAATCTCAAACTAAGCTTGAAACAAAGGCTGAAATTACAAAGGAAAAGTGACAAATCTGACTGTTGAACTTTTAACTTCTTTTATCTAAAAAACAAAAACAAAAACTCCATAGAATAAAATTTAAAAACAAGTAAAAATTATAAAAAATCTGCAATATACATGAAAGATAAGCATAACATTCTTATTAAAGAGGACTTAGAAAGAAAAAGTAACCTCTTAAAAATGAGCAAAATGCAAATTCGTCATCAGGAGAGAAAATGTAAATGGCCAAACATTTTTAAGAGAAGTGAAAACTGAAAACGATAACGCACCATCAAATTGAGAATAAAATAATACTCAGAGCTAGTAATTTTGGCCAGTGACCCTTGGGGTAGGATGTGTAACAATTGAAAAAAACTCAGACATTACTGAGAAGGGTGTAAATTGGCTCAACAATTCTGGAGAGCAATTTGACAGAATGTAGTGAAAGCCTCAAAAGTGTTCACACACTTTGACTCAAAAATTACATTCTTGGAAATTTATAATGCAAACATTTTCTATAAAAGGTCGGATGGCAAATACTTTGTGCTTTGAAGGCCACATCTGTCTCTGTTGCTTTTCTTCTGTGTGTATGTTTAAAAACTGCCCTCCCTCCCCCCCATCCTTGTTAGGCCGTTCTTGCATTCCTATAAAGAAATACCTGAGGCTGGTTAATTTAAATGAAAAGAGGTTTAACTGGCTCACGGTTCTGCAGGCTGTACAGGAAGCATAATGGCATCTGCTTCTGGGGAGGCCTCAGGAAGCTTCCAATCATGCTGGAAGGTGATGGGGAGCAGGTGTCTCACATGGTGGGAGCAGGAGCAAGAAGGAGTTGGAGGGAGGGGGGAGGAGCCACATAAACAATGAGATCCCTGTGAGCTCAGAGTGAGAGCACACTTATCACCAAGGAGATGGCCCAAGCCATTCATGAGTGATCACCCCTATGATCCAAACACCTCCTACCAGGCTCCACCTCCAAAACTGGGGAGTCTATTTCAACATGAAATTTGAATGGGACATCCAAACTATATCACCCCCAAAATGTAAAATCTCATCACAGTACATTTGGTAATGGCCAAAAGAGAAACCAAACTAAATGTCTGAGAATAAAAATTAGTTACAACTAGATACACGGTGGCAAGTTTTTAAAAAGTGTTAAAATTTTAAAATGTTGAAGAGTGGTATCTATTGCATAAAATAGTATTTATGATTTATTAAGTGGAAAATACAGTTTACAGAATAATATGATGTGATCCCCAAAACAACATAATCATGTGTATATAAGTGCATAGAAAAAAATCTGGAAAGATACAAACAGATATTTATAGTGCTCTAGGGCAGGGGATGGAATTGTAGATATTTGTTTTTTGTTTTATGTATGTGTTTCCCATAATGAAATGTATTGTTTATATAATTAGCAAAAATATAAGAAACTTTGCTTGGGGGACAACAAAGCACCTCATTTGTTAATTTGGGAAAATCTTTTATTACAATCTGTGTAAGTAGTTGGTTGCTCTCTCTTCTGTACTCCCCGATTACATAATGGTCTTCTGAGCACTTTTATTTAATTGCAGAATGGTTAATATCATTATTTAGTTAAGGTTTCCTCTATTATCGAACATCTGAGTTCCCAGTACAGTAGTTTCCCCTTATCTGTGGTTTTGCTTCCGAAGTTTCAGTTAGGATCGACCAAGATCTGAAAATGTTAAATGAAAAATTCCAGAAAGTCATAAAGTACTTCTTTTAAGTGAAAAGGCGAAAGTTTTTGAATTAGTAAGGAAAGAAAAAAATCCTTATGCTGAGGTCGCTAAGATCTTTGATAAGAATGAATCTTCTACCTGTGAAATTGTGAAGGAAAAAGAAATTCATGTTAGTTTTGCTGTTGTACCTCAAACTGCAAAAGTTATGGCCACAGTGTATAACTTTTATTAAAATATATTTGTATGACTGTTCTATTTTATTTTACTTTTCTGTTTTATTTTTAGAGACAGGGCTTCATTCTGTCACCCAGGCTGGAGTGCAGTGGTGCAATCATAGCTCACTACACCTCAAACTCTTTGGTTCAAATGATCTTCCTGCCTTTAGCCTCCCAAGTAGCTGGGACTGCAGGTGTGCATCACCACGCCCAGCTAATTTTTAAATTTTTTGTACAGATGGAGTCTTACTCTGTTGCCCAGGAACTCCTGGCCTCAAGTAATCCTCCCGCTTCGGTTTTCCAAAGAGCTGGGATTACAGGCATGAGCCACTGTGCCTGGCTATTCTATTTTATTAGCAGTAATTGTTGTTAATCTCTCATTGTGCCTTATTTATATTAATAACTTAAACTTTATCATAGATAGGTATGTATAGGAAAAAACATCGTATATATAGGGTTCAGTACTATCGGCAGTTTCAGATATCCATGAGGGGTCTTGGAACGTATCCCCCACAGATGAGGGGGCACTTGTATTTCACTGTTATAAGTATGCTGGTTATTCTCCACTTGTTGTCTTCTAGTGCCATCTTCAGCTCTTCTCTGCTAGACTCTGTGCCTCAGAAGGTGGAATTTTTCATAAACAATTCCAACTGGGGTCTCATGCCAGTTGGTTTTGACCAATGGGTAACACCATCAGTAGCTTGGAGGATGGAAAAGGAAAAAAGGTTAGGATATGTCTCACCACCTCTTTTCCTGCTTCTGGCTGGGTTCTGGTGGTGGCTTTGTCCCTCGAAGGCTCCTCCTGCAAGGCAGCCCTGCTCCACTGTGCCAGCCTTCGCTGGGCTCTACTAACATGATTCCCTCCCCTTATTTCTTCAGGCCTAGCTGTGCTAACTCCTGGGTACCTCCATGTTTCTTGTTTCCTTTCATCCAACCCTAACCCTACTTCTATAAATAGTTCCCTCAGTAAAATCTCTTCAGCTGAAACATCTGAGTGGAAATTGTTCCTGTTATGACAGACTAAATATATCAAAGGACACAGTTGATCGTCATGGAACACAAATCTTTTATCCTTATTGCAACAGGCCCTGGATATTTTCAGATTTTATATCCGAGCTTTTGACTATTTGCAAGGTAATTATAGAGTGATTTACACATTTCCTGAAACAGGGATTTAAATTAATCCTGTGAGGCCAGTGTTTGGGATTATAACACTCTGATTACTCTCCACTTCTCCGGTAGTTTTTGAGAAGTAACGCTCCATTGCATTTTATTGAAGAAATTATATATACCGTACAGTGGTGTCCACATTTTGATGTTTTCAGTGGAACCTTTAAGCAAAAAGTTTTTACATGTAATCTAACATAAAAATTAGATAAATGCCAAATTGCTCTGGTTGAGGCAGCATTGGAGAAACCTTCTTCCTATCTTTGAAGCCGACTTTGGGATGCCTCTGCAGAACCCCAGGGCTCCTTGGAACACAGTGTGAAAACAGACATTTGGAAAATCCAAGAGTCTGGAAGATATACCCTTCCTAAATATCAAGTGTCTGTTATATCTCTTTAGGTTAGATTCCTGGAATTTCAGTTGACAATATGATTTTACCTATTTAAGACACTCTTCACTGTGAAGGATGTGGCCCATCTCATTACTGCATCTGTCACCACATACACAATGCCAAAAAAACCTCTCCTGACTTCTCATCATACCTTCAATTGCATTTTCGTTACTGAAAGAATGTTTTCCCATGTCTCTTGGCCATTAATATTTTCCCTTCTCCTCCACCACCTTCTACATTTTTTTAGTCATATTTTCATGTTTGACCATTTCTCAATTCGTCAATACATAATAATTCCTTGTATTATGTTCTGATCATTATGGTAACAGTCTAAATAATGAACAATACATTATGTCTGTGCTTTCATGGTGTCCACAGAGTAGCAATATTGTAGTCTTATTATTTATCTTGTTTAATTCAATTAACAATTGAATTAATCATTTGTCACAACCTTTATTCACATTTGTTGCAAATACTTTTTCTTAGTTTGCCTTCTAATTTTATGT